TGTATTGGTGCAATAGACGGTACACACTTGATGGTTGTCCCACCTGCACATCAACAGACAGTCTACAGAGGAAGAAAACATTCGTGTACTCAAAATACAATGGCGGCGTGTAGTTTTGATATGCTATTCACTTATGTCAATACCGGATGGGAAGGATCAGCTGCTGATTTCAGAGTGTTAACTGAGATTTTAAGAAATCCAGATGACCCATTCGTGGCGCCACTCCCACCAAAATATTACGTTGTGGATTCCGGTTACAGCAACACGCAAGGCTTTTTGGCACCATTTCGTGGTCAGAGGTACCATATTCAACAGTTTAGAAACGGTGGCCAACCAACGGGACCACAAGAGTTATTCAATTATTATCACTCCTCACTGCGTAATTGCATAGAGAGGTGCTTTGGGGTCTTGAAAGCAAGGTTTAAAATTCTTAAGCATATGACAAATTATTGGATGCCAAGACAAAATAGTATACCAATAGCTTGTTGTGTGATCCACAATTTAATTAAGATGCACGCGCGAGATGATCCCCTATTTAGACAATATGAGGTCGATTTGCCCGTAGAAGATATTGAGGGAGAGGGAGAACAAGAAGGGCAACAGGAACAACAACATGGTATGGATGCACAAGAAGCAGAAACATCTGAAATGGATGGTCGGCAACAACGTAATTACATGGTTGATTTTAGGGATCATCTAGCTAATCAAATGTGGGATTCGTATAGGCGACAATAATTTAAGCTAATATATTGTAATTTCCATATTTTATTAATTATTTTATTAATTATTAGTGTTTTTATTTAGGATTCAATTATTATTTATTTAATATATTAAATACCTATTACATATTTTCAAAAATGAAACCAAACGCATTTTCAGTTTTTTTTTAAACTGAAATCAATCTCTAAATAAAATTACCAAACGCATTTTCAGAAATAATTCAAAAATGAAAATGAAAACGTTTTCATTTTCATTTTCGTACAGAAAATAAAAACGTTTTGGAACCAACTCTAAACGCACCCTATATATACTAAAAGAAAGCTTCGGAACACTGTTCATGTAGACTGAAATTACTGTGCATAGTGCTGTGGAGTGACGTTTTCGGCCTTTATTTTTCCCTTATTCGGGTGGTGGGCAGTGGGCTTTTGGTCTGTCTTTCAGGGTGTGCTTGGACGATTTTGCCCCCGTTCCCTTGGTTTCTTCTTTTTTTGTGCCGTGGGGTTTGTGCGTGTGAAGCCCTAATGTTCATATGTTTCTTTGGTTTTCTGCTGTGTGCCGCTATTGCCACCCTTTTTTTTTTGGTTCTTCTCTTTCCTGTGATCATTTTCTCTGGCTTTCTTTTGTTCGGCATCTTGCTTCTGATCCTTTGTGGTTTCGGTGTGCTGGTTGTGTTGGAGGGATTTTGGTTGAAATTTGGGGATTTTATTCCTTTCCTTTTGGATTCTTCCATTGTTTCCGTTCGCAGTTCATGCTTTATTTTTCTTTCATTTTCCGTCTACGCCTCTTTAAATTTTGCTTCTTGCTTCTTTGTTCGTTTGTTTTTAATTTTTCCTCTTTTTTTTCCCCGGGTTTTTTCCCAGGCTTCTGTGTGTTGGTGGTATTTTCTTTTTTAATGCTTGGTGCTAGGTTCAAATTTTTGGCGGGTTCCTTATCCTTTCCTCTGATGAACTTATTTCTGCAGGTATTGTATTTGCGCCGGTGGATTTCCTCTTCACTGATTCAATGCCTCGTATGGGTAATTTTTTTGGTTTTTTTTCCTTCATTTATTGCGTTGATGATGTGGACTGCCTATAGTTGTCCTTTGCTTTTTTAGGTTGATGATTTGTTCTGCTTTTGTTACGGAGTTATTAAATGAAACGGTGATATTTTTTGTTTTATGTATTTTCTGCATTCTGAGCCATTCTTATCCTGCATCATCTAGAATCTTGGGCAATTTAGAGGAAAAAAATATTTTCCTATATTTTTCTCCTTTTTCCTATTTTTCGCGCTTCTGATTTTTTCTATTGTTGAGGATATTATTTTAAAATTTTTCCTACGGCTTAGTAATTAAGAAATCTTGGTCTTTTAATTTTTCTGAACTGAATATGCATTACTATGTGTCATATTACTAGAAGTTACTTACTATTCATGCCGATTTTTCATTCATTATTTACAAATGTTATTGCATGGACAAATTTGTGATACACGTTTCTGCCTTATTTCCCTGTACCTGTTGTTTTTTCCGTTCCGTTCTATTCTTCACCATCTATTGTTTCACTTTGTTGCTCTTCATTTGCTGCTTTGCTTCTCTATTTATTTGCCTTTGACTGCTCCTATTTGCTGTTCTTTTATCCATGATCCTTGACTGCTTCATCTTATCGTTTAGTATTTACTATTTTCTTTACTTATCCGTCTACCATTGACTCTCGGTGCTCATTTCTGGTTGGTCCATATCTTACACCTACAACAGTGTTTACAACGTTTCAGGTATGATTAATCGCTTTTACTTACCTTTTCCTAATGTTATTAATGTCTGTTGTTTCTTTACTTTAGGATTTTTGTTGATCTACGACTTCATTATTTTATTATTTTTTAATGGCATTAACAGGTTTACTCGCACTTTATTCCTTTCTTAGTAACATGCTTAGATATATGTAATAATTTAGATTTTTTTAGCTTTAGTCTTCATTTTTTTTCCTTGTTCCTTTTGTTTTTGTCTATGTCTGTTTCCTATTCCTTTCTCTTCTCGCTCCCTTCCCCTTCTTTTCCTTTTTTTTTTCTCTTTTTTCTTCACCTCTTATGATAATGATGAGCAAGATTAATCTTGCCATGTTGAGTTTGGTATGATTTATCCAAAAATTGCTCTTTTTTCTTCACCTCTTATGATAATGATGAGCAAGATTAATCTTGCTACGTTGAGTTTGATATGATTTATCCAAAAATTATTGTTGATGTATTATTTTTATTTTGTGCTGTTTTTTTTTATTTATTTTTTTTATTTTTTTATTCTCTCTTATTCAGAATCTTTGATCGTTCCCTTTTTTTATTGTTTCTTATTTTGATCTTTGTATTTTGTTGGGATCACTCTTTAATTCAAGACTTATTACGTGTGTGTATTAGTTTTCTTATTACAATACTAAATGCTGTTTTTTTCTGTTTTCTTTGCCTATGATATTTTCTCATGATTTTTTGTCATTACAAATCCCTAATATTTTTACTCATCATTTGAATTGAAATTTATTTATTGATATAATATGTTATTTTATCTTCTTTTGATATTAGTTGTCTTTTAACTTTGAGTTATGTAATTTGAATTATCTATTGTCGAAGCAGGTATCTTTCATTGTGTATGATGTACTTCTCAATATCTTTATGTCTCCTGTTTTTTGTTTGTTTTTCACTTTTTTCTCCATTTTTTATCCTTTCTTTTTGTGTTTCTTTCTCTTTTCCTTTTCTTTTTTCTCTTTTTTTCTTTCCTTTCTTTTTTCCCTCTGCTACCCTGTTCCTTTTCTTTTTTCCTTTTTTCTGTTTCGTTTTTATCTATATCTTTTACCTGATTTTTGTTCTCTCTACTTCAAGAGAATACCTATTTTTTTGATACCTAATAGTTAAAGCAATATTTGGACTGGTTCGGGTACTATTAATACTTTCTGTTTACTTTCCTTCAATGTCATTAATATTTGTTCTTTGTTTGATTTATTACTTTTGTTCATTTATAGCCACACTATTTTATCATTACTTAATGGCACTAATATCTTTACTTGCAACTTATTTGTTTGTTAGCAACGTGCTTAGATACATGTCTTTTTTTTTTTTTATGTTTTCTGATTAATTGTCCTTCTCTATTACTTTAGTTTATTTCTTCATCACATGTTAATGAAAAATTCCATTCTTTAACCGATGACAACTGTATAAAAATACTATAATATTCATGTTTTTTTAATTTGTCTTCAGTACTTTTTTCTTTTTTTTTTTTTTCCCTTTTTTTTCCCCCCAGTTTTTTTTTTTTTTTTTTTTTTTTTTTTTTTTTTTCACCTTCTGTTCCTTTTTTTTGCCTGTTTATCTATTTATCTATTTGCTTACTTATTCGTGTATACTATTTTAGGTTTCCTATCATCCACTGCTTTGCATTTTGATTGTCCCATCCATTTCTAAACATTGGTGCTTGCTTGCTACATCTTTTTCATTTGGAGTGCTATTTGCAGCGCCTAAGGTATTGCTAATAACTTTTATCCATATATTTTTAACCAATGTTGTTGATAATGGATGCAGTAATTTGCTATAGCAGTGTTAATATATGTTATTTATCCTTTGTTATCCACGTCAACGTGAACTTATATTACATCATTGATGCATACTGCCCATCTAAAAAGAAGACTCTTCCTTTTCACTTTTAGTGAATATCGGTAACCTCTCTTTACTTTGTTTTCTGTTTTATAAATAAATTACTATGTTGTGTTTACTTAGTTTTCTGCTTCATAAATAAATCACTATGTTGTCTTGGGCGTTTTCTTTACTAGTTCCTGACCCATACATAGACATAGATATGTATATTGGCAATGATGATCAGACTCAATTTTTACATGTTAAAATCTATTTGATTGTCCAAAAACACGGTTGTAGCTATATCTTTCCTATTTCATTTCTTATTGAGTCTGTTTTGTCTTTCTTTTCTTTGCCCTAAAATTCCAAAGTACCTATTTCTTCTTTTCTTTGTTGACTCTAATGCTCTTGCCATTTTCTTTATTAGTTCCTGATCCATACATAGACATAGATATGTATATTGGCAATGATGATCATACTCAATTTTTACATGTTAAAGTCTATTTAATTTGTCCAAAAACTGCTGTAGCTATATCTTTCCTATTCAGCCTATTTTTGTCTTTCTTTTCTTTGCCCTAAAATTCCAAATTACCTATTTCTTCTTTTTTTTTTTGTCCACTCTAATACTCTTGCCTTCTCCACGCCTCTGCCTTGTTAAAAAAAATGCAATTACTTATTCTATTACATATTATGATATACATTAAACGAAACCTTTGGATCACTGTTCACGCATATTTATTTTATTGCTGATCGTCCAATAGTGTTATCGTTTTGTCCTTTTTATTCTTCTGCTCCCTTTGTGGGTGGTCGGTATTTTGGTCTTTTTAGGCATCTGGTTATATTTAGACCCTTTTAGCCTTTGTTTCTGCTGTCAACCTCTTCGTGGTTTTAGAAAAGGGAGGATTATTGTTCACGCACACTCATTCTATTCCTAATCATGCGATGGAGAGATGGTCTTGCCCTTTTTATTTCCCTTGTTCTGTTTCTGCCTGGTGCCTACTTTAGTCTTTTTAGCTCCCAAAATGTGTTCGAATGCTTTTTTCCCTAAATTCTTAGTCCATTCTTTTTCTCTGCCGTGGGACTCTTTGTTGTTGTAGGAATATGGAACATCAACATTTCTTTGTTCTTCAATTTCCATTTTCTTTAGCATTTTCACTTTTTGTTTTTTCTACTTTCTTTTGTTCTGGTCCGGTCTGCTTATTATAGTTAGTCCTTATTCCTTTCACTTCTTTTTCCATAGAAGGAAAATATATATATATATATATATATAAGAAAATAAAATTCCATCACTACTTCATGGTCTCCCGTTTAAGCTACATGGTGATTTTTTGACAAATTGATATTCTACTCTTGCAAGTTATTTTTTGGAACATATATGTTACAACTTATATGATGGATATGATGTCCTACCAATGTTTGTGCCTTTGTATAGTTGCCCATAGTTGGTAGACACAAAATGGTCATAAATGTGTAAGTTTCTTTATCCATCAGATATTGCTGAAAATATTATAAATCTGAGCCCCATCACTATGTCAAAGGATCAGGATGTTTATATTTAACTTTGTTTCTTTTATTTTTGTGATTCTTAATTCATTTTATCACTGATTTTTTCATATTCTCTCATAATATTAATCACTTTGAATGTTTTTGCCCCTGAATTCTTAGTCCATCCTTTGCCTTTGCCTCTGCCGTGGGACTCTTTGTTGTTCTAGGAATATGGAACATCAACACTTCTTTCTTCTTCAATTTTCATCTGCTTTAGCATTTTTACTTTTTTGTTATTTCTCTTTTGTTTTGTTCTGATCCGGTCTACGTATTTTACTTAGGCTTCGTTTATTTTACTGATTTGAGTTTTCAGTTTTAGGTTTCTACAGTAAAAAGCTCTAAAAAAATGTCCCATATAACTTTTTCTGCTACAGTGAAAAACTCTCAGAAAATATCACATCTCAACTCGAATTGAAAACTCGAATCCGCGAAGTGAATGAGGCCTTAGTCTTTATTCTTTTCACTCCTTTCTCCATAGAAGGAAAATAAAATATATATAAGAAAAATAAAATTACATCAATATTTCATGGTCTCTCATTTAAGCTACTTGGTAGTTTTTGGACAAATTGATATTCTACTTTTGCAAGTTATCTTTTGGAACATATATGTTGCAACTTATATGATGGATATGATGTCCTACCAATGTTTGTGCCTTTGTGCAGCTGCCCATGTCATAAATGTGTAAGTTTCCTTATCCATTATATATTGTTGAAAATATTATATATTTGAGCCCCATCACTATGTCAAAGGATCAGGATGTCACTTTCTTTCTTTTATTTATGTTATTCTTAGTTGATTTTATCGCTAATTTTTTCATATTCTCTCATAATCTTCATCACTTGCCACCTAATTTTTTTGTTATATTGTCCAAACAGTTTTGTCCCCGCCCATATAAATTAACTTATTTATTATATATTGATAGAAACAGCCTATGTTTAAGCCGTTGTCATATTTTGATAATTACAAGAATAGTACTATAATTATACCTTATTGAATTTGTTGTTTTCGAAACATCCTATGTCTAAGCCGTTGTCATATTTTGATAATTACAAGAATAGTACTATAATTATACCTTATTGAATTTGTTGTTTTCTTTTGATTCTTTATCTCATATCATTTACTTAATTCATATTTTGATAAACATCCTACTTCTGCTATCTTACTGAAAATTTGTGCAATGAAATCTTATTACAAAAAACTTTTACTTTGTTTCTTCATCTCTGAAGGATGAAGCTTAGAAAAAGCAGATGCACATGCCAATTTGTTCATTTATGTTGTATTTGTTGATAAATTTAATTTATCTACTATTGCTATTTTATTATTTAATGTTATATGTAATATTATATGGTAGTGTAAATTTTAACTCTTTATCTTTATAAACATTTTAATATTATTTACCTTATCCTCAACATATAAGGATGCAAATACAAATGTTATTCGATCTATGTGAAACATATAAAGATGCAAATTTGAATTTCTTTCTTTATCGGTTAACTCATTTCATTATGTGTCTACTTAATATATTGCCACCATCTTATTAGTACCTTTTATAAACATTGCAAATATTCAATCGTACATATTATACACTTTGTTAAATTATTTCATTTAGAATAAATTACATTTGTAATTATATAACTTAGTTAATCAATAATAACAAAATTATTTATTCCATCATTTATAACCAATTCTAACATATTATAGTTAATAAGAGATAAACTAATTTATTTGACTTCTTTTTTTTCCTTATCCCTTGAATGTGTCCATGTTGTAGAAGGTGATAGATGGATAGGAAAAAAAAATTCAAGAAAGATCATTGCGCCAAAATCAACGCATGTGCCATATCCATTCTCAAATAAGTGAAGATTTTACCGATACAATTAACAACCATTGAAACCAAATAGATCAATATCTTCCACCTGTGTCAACAAGACCGTCGAGGTCTCAACTTGATGCAATGCTAGCACATTTTCAATCTCAACAAGTTCTTGAATCATTTCCTCCCTCAAGACCTCAAAATCACAATCAAAATCATAGTTTCTTCTCCTATATTAAACTAGCCATTTACATTAAAAAGACGATAATTTCTCGTAAAAATTTACTATGCAACGACAATAAATAAAAATAGGGAAAATCATTAGAAAAAATTAGATTATACTTAGATACTCAAAATTTTACTTATGAACAATTATATGTTGCTTTATTAAGAGCTACAAACCCAAACGGATTACACATATTAATCCAAGATTCAATTAATAAATATCTAAATTATATAAGAAACATTGTCTATAAAGAAATTCTACATAATATCCTATAAAAGGTAAAATACTCCATAAGAACATATACACTATTAATATACTAACTCAAAAATACATGCAACATTATACTAACAATTTCATGTCATCAATATTTTTTATTACCACTAAATTAAAAACATATTTAATAAAATTACTCATCCACAACTTGAATAATCACTTTTCTCCTGTCAATGACCACGCAATATGACCACCAATTCGTGCATTAAGACCAAATGAAGTTTATGAAACAATCAGGCAAGAATCTGCAGATTATGGACGAACAACGACTTGACCACAGGACGTCTAATAAGTCTTGATTGTCTCTTAGTCAATGAAGAGGTAATAACTTTATCAAACATTATAGTATATTATATTTTATTTGATATTATATATAACAAAGTTTATAATAATCACATATTTTTCTTTTGAAGCATGAAGCAATCCAAGCACCAATCCGAACACGTGACTCATATGTTATTTCTCAAAAAATTCAACTCATATGTTATTTCTCAAAAAATTCAACTGGGAGTAATATATGACATCAGCAACTTCTTCGTTACTTAGAACAAACCAACATACAAAGTTATACCACATAATGCAATGCTACAATTTGCACGTGCAACAACTTTTGTCTCAGTTGCAGAAGAGGCACTTCCCATCCCTTTCCATAAATTTTACTTCATAGAATTTGACCAGTTTCAGCATAGGATCCAAACAATCGAAATTTTAACTGGTAACATAAATCACTTTTTCCTCGAAACAAAAATATACATTACTAATCCATTAATTTATATTCTTAACGTTATCTATTTATCTATCAACATATGTCATTGGCATTGTCACAAAGGTGCAGAATATTGAGCAAACAAATGTTAACAACATGCCAACATCACGACGCACAATAATGATACAAAATATAAGGTAAATCTATGCAAATTTCATCATAATCACATAACAAAAAT